CATGGATGAGGATTTGGTTGGATGGTTGCATCCAGAGGGTAGTGGGCAATGTCTCAATGCTCCAATGGACATCAGTGAAAAGTACCTCTTGGGGTCCTAGTGGATGAAAAACTGGTCATGTGGCAGCCTTTTGGCTCACAGCCCAGAAGGTAAACCGTGTCCTGGGCTGCATCTAAAGCAGCATGCCCAGCAGGTCGAGGGAGGTGATTCTGCCCCTCTGCTCTGCTCTGGTGAGATCCCACCTGGTGTACTGCATTCAGCTCTGGAATCTTCAGTGCAGAAAAGACATCGATGTGTTGGAGGGGGTCCTGAGGAAGGCCACAAAAATGATGAGGGATGGAACAACTCTTCTACGAAGAAACATCAAGAGAGTTGGAGTTGTGCAGTCTGGAGAAGAGAAGGTTCCAGGGAGACCTTATTGCAGCCTCTTAATACTTTAAGAGAACTTCTAAGAAAGATGGGAACAAACCTTTTAATAGGGTCTACAGCAACAAGACAAGGGTTAATGGTTTTAAACTGAAAGAGGGAAGATTTAGACCAGATTTAAGGATGATTTTTGGTGAAACTCAGGAACAGGTTGCTCAGAGTCGGTAGATGCCCCATCACTGGAAATATTCAGGACCAGGTTAGATGGGGCTCAGAGCAACCTGATCTAGTTGAAGATCTCCCTGCTCACTGCAGGGGGTTGGACTAGATGACCTTTAAAGGCACCTTCCAACCCTTTCATCATTTTTTAAAAATGTGAAATGGAAACACTGTAGTGAACCTCTAACGACTGAAGCAGCCATCAATGATCTCAATGTTTTAAAATGCACCAAGAGAAGAAAGGGAGTAATTTACTCCCTAGAGGTCCCCCAGACAGCAACACAATCAGCATCATGCTCCCCCAAACACTTGTATTTTGTGGAAATGAGCCCAGTTGCATGGTTCATGTTCTCAGAAGACTGCATGAGCAAATACACATATTTTTTGTCTCAGATTTACCACAGTACTTAAATGTTTTTCAGTTTAATATTACTGATGACTGTAATGTTTAGAAATTTATCCAGACAACATTCCTTGTAATTCTGGCAAGTCCCATCTGAATGACCTTCAAGGATTTTCTTTAAAAAGTTTATTCTTGTAACCTCTCATCTTGGACTAATACACAAAAAAATGGACTAATATTAAGCATGTGAATGCCTATCTATGTTCATTTTCCAAATATACTTTTGTACTATTTGAAAAATTACTGACAAATTACAAGTAACAATTGTCTTCACACTATATACATATTTACTCATAAATAGTATTTACAGATAGCAGCAAGCAGAAAAAGAATACATTACAGGATGCAAGGAAGTATTCTCAGTTTCACTGGTCTACCTTGACAAGTCTAACTTTGACAATCAAAACATTATTTTGAAGTCATATCCCACAAATATCTAGGACTATTGAGAACTCGTGAATAGACTTCCCTGAAAAAAATTGAAAATAATCCACATTTTTAATGAGGAAAAGATTAATTTTTAAACGTGGTGGTTCACATACTTCACTTCCATGAAGAGCCACTTGATCCATTTCCCAGAATATGCTTCATACTTTGGCATAAATACAAAACTGAGCAATAAATTTGTGCAACTGTAACATTTTCCCTTCAATGTTATGAGCAACTACCACAAAACATACAATCCATTCTGGTCCTTCAATCAAGTCAGGAGAGAAGATCCAGCAGCAAGTACCCATTAAATGGCCAAATAAAATAAATAAATAAATAAATAAATAAATAAATAAATAAATAAATAAATAGAACTGGATACAAAGCAGAAGGAAGAATTAAAAAAAAGTTAAGGCACATGTCAAGTTTGAAAATTAGAAACTGTCCTTTTCTCTAATAATGTGCCCTAAAGCAGGACTGTGAACTATAATTGAAGCAGAACTCGAACTGACCTAGAAGGTTTCTGACTACACCTTTAGCAGCCAATACAGTAGTTAACAGTCTTCACAGGAGACCTCTATAATGTCCTATAAACTACAATCTAAGAATCCCAACGACAGGGAATTTTGTATTTAAAGTTATTCAGTATAACACAGTTTTATTACCTCCTTTTGTTCCCTTTTGAAATGGAACAAGCTATAGCATTTTCATACCAAAAAAACCCTGCAGTGAACAGAAGAGAAATGCTTTAATGTGTCTCACAGAGAGATGTTTCATAACTTCCTAATACATACTCTGTAGTCAGTAAAGAACTGAAACATTTACTCCAACTTGACACCAATTCTAAGATTAAGATACATTAAAAGCAAACAAAAATTGACAGACCTCTAACATAAAGAGGTAGTTTTGTTTTTCTATTTTCTATTTTTTTTCTATTGTCTATTTTCCTTCCGTCCCTATGACCAACAAACTAGGAATTCCATTCTGAATTAATTGTTTTAATTATGCAAGACCACTTTACCACCACTACAGACAAGGACAGAAACACAGAGAGAAACAAAAAACTAAAGTAACACAACCAAACTAGATCCACATAAACCAATACTTCAAATGGTGGTATTTTCAGAAACAGAAAAGAGAAAAAATAAGACTAATGATAAAATAAAAGGGACTTTAAATTCTCAAACCAGCAATCAAGAGTGAGCTTTATGTCCAAAAGAGCTGTATTTTACCAGAGAAAACATGAGTTTTCTCTTTGTTTTCATTTTAGAGGCCACAATAAACATTTTAAGAAAGACAATGTCATCGAGATATGCACCACCTTGAAAAGCTGTAAGGAATATTACAAGGGTTAAGAGAGGAAAGACTGAATGAGTTAAAGGAGTGATAGATCCCCCTTAACACACAAAAGCTTCCTGTAAGGAAGTAAAATTTCCATATTCAAATTTAGAAATTTAACTCCAACTACATACTAAATACTGTCACCACAAAGATCGCCTGGGAGGACTGTAGACAAGAGGTCTCTAAAGAGTTAAATAACAAGACTAATTTAGAGGTAGGTAATCCTGCATTGAGCAAAAAGACAAACATATTATATGAAGAAAGAAGCAAATTTTTTCTAATAAAATTTGAAAAGAAAGAACACTCATTTCAAGAAAGGGGTAGACTTCCCTATATCACACACAGCAGGTTTTGCAAAAGGAAAAGATTTTCATACTGAAAAGCAGCAAAGGCAACCAGTGCTGGAAAGAAGGGAATACTGAGACCTAAACCACAGTCATTAAAAAGTCTCTGAACTACTACTGACTTTTATTACACAAGCTCATTTCTTTATAAGTGGACTTAAAACTCAAAGAGTTCATGTATTTCATGCTCAGCATCACCAGGACCTCATAACAATGCATCAGGTTATTGTTTAAATGTTTTACAACTTCTGACTTAAAGATCAAGTAGGGAAAGATCACATTTCATTGCAGCATCCAAAACTCTTTGCATATCTCTCAGAGACAGAGGAAAATGTGGAAGGTAAATAGATGATCTGCCTGATAATTCTGTAACAAAACTGAAAAATGCTGCTTGAAAAGTTGTTGCCATAACCTCACACCTTGATTTCTTTGTGGGAATGTATGCTAGACATGCAATTAATAAATACAAACTCCACTTCTCCATTAAAAAAAAAAAGAGAAAAAATAATTACATAAAATACACATTCCATGCCCTTCTCTAGTTAGCTGAAACATTACCTGGAGAGTAAGAGGACAGAAGTGTGGTGGGATCTCCAAACATGGACCCAAAATAACCAGTTAAACCAGTTAAAAAGTTTCTTTTTTTTCAGTGCTTAGCTATACTTACACCTAGAAAACACTCCCCTATTTTCCACAGTAAGAACTTGTCTCCTTATCCACAAGAGAATATTTTCATATTTGAAGGCCTAATCTCCCATCACCCAATTTTCCTCTCTAGATTCCAACTCCTTCAGGTGTTTCTATCTTTACTAATTCTCACCTCTCTCTGCGTTCTCTCCTTTCAGCCCATACGCATCCTAATGCGCTTCCAGGGACACCAGAGACCAAACCAAGGAGCACGCCGCCAAACAAACCCAATCTCATCCACCTCCCCATCGCTGCTGCTCAGTTCCTGCCCACCACCCGCGGCCTCTCACCCCGAAACGCACGGGGCAACGCGGGTCATTGACCGCTGCCCGCCCTCGCACAGCCGGCACTTGTTGCCCAGTCCAGGACGAGCTGTGTCCCGTGGGACGGACCCCGGGCTGGAGCAGGGGAAGGACTCGGGCTGCTCTCCCTGAGCAGCGCCGGGAACAACCTGGGATGGACTGACCGCAACCCCCATTCCCGTCTCCCTGCACCGCTGGGGGTGGGAGGGAGCGGTGGGAAAGAAGTGTTCTTAAGATTTGCTTTACTTTCCGTTATCCTGCTCTGATTTCCACTGGCAGTAAATTCAATTACTATCCCCCCAAACCGAGTCTGTTCCGCACACGACAGCGGTGGCTGAGTGACCTCCCCTTGCCCTTACCTCAACACACGAACCTCCTCTGGCACCCCCTCTCCCCTGTGCAGGCGCGGGGCAGTGACAGCGCGGCTGCGGTGGGTGCCGAACACCCAGCCAAGGTCAACCCACCGCAACCATCCGCCCTCGCTCCCCGCCGCAGCTCCCCGCACGCACACCCGCGGCAGGGCAGCCCCCGCGGCAGCCCGTCACTCACCCAGCAGCTCCCGGGAGCCGTGCAGGTGCCTCCATCCCGCCCGTGCGGGGCCGGGGAGCCCCGCGCCCAGCGCCGCCCGCCCGGCCCGCAGCAGCCTCAGCGCCCGCTCCCCGCCCAGCCGCAGGGACGCCGCCATCTTCCCGCTCCCTGCGCCGGGGCTGCCCCTCTCACTGCCTGACCAGAAGGAACCCGACCCGCCCCCAGCCCCGCGGAGCAACGGATTGACCGACCCCTCCCGCCCCGCCCGCGGCACCGAGCGCCCCCGCCACCCCGGGCACGAGCAATCGCCAGCCGCAGGGACACCCACGCCCCGCCCGCCCCCGCACCTCCCCCGGCCACTGCCGCCTGCCGGCCCGAGGGAGGTGCCTGGCCCCCCAGTCCCGTCCAGTCCGGGGCGGTGCCGCGGGCAGGGGATCCCCGGCGCGCTGCAGGCGCCCCGCGGGGTCCGTGAGAAGCCCCCGATCGAGGACCCCTTGGCATGGCGGCCGCGGCCGGGGACGCGGAGCAGGTACTGGGGGGGTCCCCTGCGCTCCGGGGAGCGGAGCGACCGCGGCGGGGCTGCGCGGGGAACCGCGGGAATCCGCCCGTGCCTTCGCAGCTGCTAATTATCAGAGAGGCCCTGAGAGTCTTGGTGGGTGACAAGCTGTGAGCCGGCGGCGCCCCGGCGGGCAGCGGGCAGTGCAGCCGGCAGGAGCCGAGCGTGCTCGGCCTCCAGTGTTCCAGGAGTAGTGGGCATAAAGTAAAACGCAAGAATTTCCACCTCAACATGAAGAAGAACTTCCTTACGTCTAGGGTGGCAGAGCGCTGGAACAGGAGGTCATGGAGTCCCTCTCTGGACACAGTTCAAGCCCACCTGGACACGTTCCTGTGTCACCTGCTCCAGGTGACTCTGCCTTGGCAGGGGAGTTGGACTGGGTGATCTCCAGAGGTCCCTTCCAACCCTAACAGTTTTGTGATTCTGTATCAAGGTGTAAGGAAATTCTCCGCGGTTCCCAAAATGTTGCCAGCTGTCAGTCTGGCTGCAGCTACAGGACTTCTGGCCCTTTTTATAGTAGCTCTGGCGTTTTTTAGGTTTGTTTGTGATTTTTTTTTTTGTTTGGGTGGGGTTTTCTGCTTATTTTTGTTTGTTTATTTGGTTTTGATTGGGGTTTTATATATCATCGCAACCCGAAGGTGAGTTGGCAGTGCTGTGCTTCATCCGACGAAGCAGACACTGTGCTGGAGCACATGGAACACGACCTGGATGGGGTTCAAAATACCCTCCAGGTTTTTGTGGCACTGGTCAAGAAACCAGCTTGGACCTACAGCAGGGAGATGGGGGTAATCAGCAGACTGGTAATGTGGCCTGTCAGGAATGAGGGAAAGAATCTCCTTAGTTATAAAATAAAATGAGAAGCAGATGGAGTTATTGTCTTAAAATGTAAAACGTTGTTAGAAAGATGAAAGGGAAGACCTTCTTTTTTATGTACATAACTGTTAGGTAAGAGAGGAGAGAATAAAGTTTCAACAAGCGAGGTTTAGGGTAGGCATTAGGAAAATATTTCTAACCTGGGACAGTTCAATGGATTGCCTGAGGATCTTGTGACTCGCTGTCACTGGAGGTTGTAAAGATGAGGTTAAAGTAGGACGCTCCAAACCTTGCCCCAGGCTGCCATCTCCATTAATTCACCCTCCCTGTCTCCTGCCTCAGAACCACTGCTGTGCTCTTGCACCTGTGCCTCCCCTCACCTCGTCCTGCAAGTCCAACACCAACTGGAAGCGTTTTCCTCCAGCAGTTGCAACACTGTGTAGGTGTTCTGTCTGTTCAGAGGGACTGCGTTAGGCAGAGCCTTGGCTTGCTGTGGTTCTATGGGCCAGGAGACAGTCTTGAGGCGTCACACAATCCCAGTTCCTCTTTGCTTGATTCTTACAGCCTTTAGACCTTCAAGGGTCACTGAGCATTCAGCTTTAGAGTCTCTGTGGCATTGGAGTGGGATGGGGGACAGCAGCACTTTTTTCTAAATATTTCAGCAGAGATACTGGTACCAAGTAAGCAACTGTCTGCCAGTTTTGCTGTGCTGCTTTTTCTTTTGCTTTTGTTCCCTCTCTTCTGTGGGTGTTGACAAAATACTCCCCTCTAATGTGAATTCTTGCTGCTAAACAAACGTTTGTCTTGGAAATGTCCTTTCATGGGCGTAAATGACTAAGTTGGGCAGTAGAGTAGCTAATCATTTGTCATTTTAAAAAATATTAAAGCTTCTAGTTACTGCAGTAAAAATTTTTGAAAAGTCCATAAATGATCAATTTCAGTGGGAGATTTGCAGTTGCTGTAAAAACTGACAGTCCAAAGCTTTTAAGCAGAGGAGGAATTCTCACCACATTGCTTTCCTGTCTCTTCCTTAGAATTATTTTGTTTCTCACCTAAAAATACGCTCTCTTTTGCATTATACAATCATTGTGTGGTGCTGAAGGTGTTGTAGAAAATAATTTTTTAAAGGCTCGTGATGTTATTTTTGCTATTTTGATTTATTTGATCCCTTTCTATGCTGAAGACAGATATTAAACAGAAATCTACCAGTTTATTTTTTCTCACTTTATGTGTACAGCATAGCACAGATCTGGTTTGCCACATCAGACTTAGCACTTCATGGCTATTCAAGGAAACCTCATCATGGTTTACTACCCATCAATATGATATGTCAGTGGTGTGATTTCATCTGTGCAGTCTGTGCTTATTCCTGAGGAAAATACATGATTTCTCAGCAATTCTGAATGGGGGATACTTAGTTCAGGCAGTGTTTATTTACTGCAGTCTGTAAAAATATCCATATTGTAGTTCAGTTTTGCAAATTATCCCCAAAACCTTTACAAACTTGTTCCACAAGCAGCTTGGGACTGCCTTCATTTTCATTCTGTTAGATCCATATTGTTTTCTGGGTTTTTGGTTTGGGAGAGTGGGTTTGTTTTACTTTGGTTTTTAAATATTAGGTACAGTGATTTGAATAAAATAGGAAAAAAATATTTTTTCTTGAGCAACCACAGGCTTGTAGAATACAGTAATTTCTTTAGATTTGACTGCTGAAAATTTTCAGTGAATACTTCCACTCAGTTTCAGTTTAGAAGTTCACCAGCAAATTTGTTTTCTGAATAATATTTAATGATTTTAAAAATTAGTCACTTGTTTTAGTTCACGGAAATTCTTGGAGTTTTTCTTCATACCTAACAGCCTGTATAAGTTTAGGCTACAATGACAACTGCAGAGCAGCAGAGAACTGAATTGTTCATGTTAGCTGTATCAGACAAGTACTGGGCCAGATTCTGACTGAGAGGTAGGAAGGAAGAGATAACCAGTGGCACTTGTACTTCAGCTTAAAAATCAAATTTTAAAGTACTGTCAACTGAGATTTGACAAAGAATAATCCTGTTGAGTTATCTACTGCTTTCACATGTGTTCACTCCCAGGTTCATTACGGCCAGAACCATTTTTTTAGTTATGGGAAGTACGGTAATTTTTATTAGCAGTAATGTTAGACATGAAATACAGTAATATTTTTATTTAGGTAGTTTATGGTTATCATCAATATCCATCTATCCTGGAAAAATACTGTTAAACATTGAGGATTGATTTGTAATCCTGCAAATCTGCAGGAAAATAGTAAAAAATTCTTGATTATGTTTATTCTTGATGAGAGGAATTTCTGAACTTCTAGAAATTTTTTTTAATAAGTGGTGAAAAGCACTTATGTACTCCCATGGATATGAATTTTGCAGGAAATGTCTAGATTCATCAAACAGTGAGAAGTATGTAACAACTATAGGAGTGTTATAATCTAGGGTTTGTTATGGCTGTGTGCATTTAATAAATAATAGCAATATAAACCTGTCTGATATAAGTTTATTCCATCAAAAATAGAAGAGACATAATTTTTCTTCGCAGTGAAAAAATACCAGTGTACTACGTAGGTTAGAAATAAAAATGAATTACAAAGGATGTAATTTTGAATAAGAGTTGACACAAAATACTTTGGGACTCAGTTTTGAGACAGGTGAATAGATTAAAAATTATGTACAGCTATTAATTCTGTATAAATAAATCAGAACAACAAAACAGGGACTCATAGTTTATATACATACTATGTCCTTGCTTTATATTTGTAAACATATGACACATGCATTAATATTTTCTGTTCACAGTACATTTCAGAGTCATTAGTATTTGAGGAATGTTTCACTAGTCGGAGTAAACTTCATTTATCTTATTATTTTCAGTGACGAAGAGCTGGAAAGAAAGGATTTCATTTTCAGTTATGTGAATGGGGAAGATCTCTGGTGGTTTTTTTTCACTTGTAGTTTAGGTGTTTGCTTATTTGGCCTGAAGTCTTTTTTCTTTCATTGTACTCTTTTATCTGCTGTTCTAATTGTTTCAGGTGTGTGAACTGATGAGGGTTCAGTTCGTGGTTCTTTAAAAATCTTGACTTCTTAAGTTTCCAGGAGTGCTGGTTAGAGTCTTGTTTCTATTGCTTCAGATGAGTAAAATGATTTTTTTTTAATATATTAAGAGATGCTTTCAATAATAGAAAGGAAATCAGAGGCGGCAGGAATAGCATCTGAACTGAATCCCAGTTCAGATGAAACCCATACAAGAAAAAAAGTGGCTGTATTACTGAGGTAATGAAGTGGAAATATTACCTGATCTCTGGGAGATAAATTAACATAAATGTATTTTCTGTTTCTCTACTTTTAATTTCCTAGTTGATGGGTTCAGTCAGTTGTATCAGGATCTTTGCGAAAGCACATGTGATTTTTATTTTTACACTGGTAAATGGGGAAAGATTTTGGCTTTTTATTCTCTCACATAAGCTAAAAGAAATACTCAAGACAATATGTAAATGCATAAATTCAAGCATGCAGCATGGATTAAAGTAGCATCTCACAGCTTTCTCTGTGATTACTGGTTACATTTGTCAGGTAAATGATTCCAATATTCAAATTTTTTGTTTTCCAATGTAGTCCTCACTTATTGAAGACCACTACCTGTAAGGTACAGCTTTCTTAGTTGTGTATGTTCAGTGCAGAATCATGTTTTGGATTTCCAGTAAATAGTTTTGACTTGTACTGTAAAGCCATTCTGTTTCAGATTAACTATAAATGAATCTGTGACACAACAGATACCTTTGGTTAATATATAGATGCAGATTTGCTTATTGATGTAATATACTATGGAATGTGAAAAAAATTAAGAACTTTTTTTCCTTCTGAAAGAAATGTTACAATAATGCAGTTTGCCTTCTGGCTAGACTGCATGTGAAGTAACCTCACATTGTAAAAATGTAGGAATGTGAAGTTCACAAAATAATTTGACTATATTTTCTATGATATTTTTGACTGCTATTTAAAAATATGCAACAACTACTAAAATCTGTTCTACTGAAATTTGCAAATCAAACAAAATAAACTTACAGAAAACAGTTGGGAAAAACAATTAGCTGAGCTTTTCAAAATGTGTGTTAGATGCATTTATTTTCCCTTTTTATCTTGTGGCAATAGTGCATGACATAATCTTGCTGGTGTAATATCTGTGGGCTGCTGCACTCAAACTTGAAATGAGACCTTTTTTTGTGAAGGATAATCAGACATGCATTTAATATGGGAGGTTTGTTTGTTTCTTTCAAGATGTGAATGTCCCTGGCAAAACCTAAAAGGCATTATGGAAACTTGCAGTCATTTTGTGTCTGAAGTTCGTAAGCATAAATTAGACTGTTGTACTGCAATACAAAAGTACTACTCCTTTAAACTCAGTTTCAGAATTTAAATTCTTAGGTTTGTGGCTTAGCTGATGTTTTTTACTTATTTCTTTAATTTATTTTTAGGATAAGTTACATCCAAGGAATCTTATCCCAGAGCTTTGTAGACTGTTTTATGGTTTAGGCTGGGTGACGGGAACTGGTGGAGGAATCAGCTTGAAACATGGGTAAGTAATGATGAAAGAGAAACAATGTGATGGTTGGAGAGGGGCTGGCTGCCTTTAGTGGTTGGTGAGGGCATTTCAGTTCCATGAAAAATGAAAGTGAGTGAGCAAGAAGGTGGAGGGGGAAATGAAGAGTCTGCCAAATTTAACCATATAGAAGGGAGATGACTAGTCTGAATTAATCACTGCAGTCCCTTCAATGGAGAGAGACAACTTCAGAGAGTGACTTTTTTCTGTCCTTTTCCTATCTTTGTTTAAGGCAGATGAATTGTCTTTAAAGAACAATGCATTCCCTCTTTTTCATTTCATTGACTATGGAATTTAGAGTGGGTTACACCAGGCACATGACTTTCAAATGCCTGTGGTTAAATGAGATCAGTCTCACCCTACACATTTTGCAGGCAAGTAATTTCCTTTAAGAAGGAGATTACTATTCTACTGAGATAATTTCTAAGGAGACATACTTAACATATAATTAAAGCAGGACAGGTAGTAGCAACAATTTTTGGTGTGTATCTGCTACTAAGAAGCACCGCTTTGTGTTTTAATTTGCTTGTCTCCCCCTTATTCATAATTCCCAAGCTTTTAGTGGAGACAGAGCTCCTCTCAGTGGCCACTAAAAAAGTCCTCATTCTGCAAAATGCCTTACACAGAGCCTGCAATTCTGTCCCCAGTCACAGGGTTGTGATATTAACTTGAGAGTGTCTGACTTCTCATTTTTCTGATATACACTTGCATGCATGCACAAACAGCCATTGCTATTCAAATGTATATATTATATATATATATACGTATATATAGGAAGAAAAGATTCTAAATGCAAATATTTGTGCTGTTTGGACTTTGTGCAGGCCATTTCACCTCCTTGCTTGATTTTACCAGCAAAGCAAGAGTAGTAATGATAATGAGAGCAATGATAAGAGGGTTAATTTTTGTTTTTAAAGTTGTCTATGGAAAGATCTTTCTAGCACTAATTTGTCATCAATAGCTAAATGCAGCGTATTTTCTTTGTCATTTCAGTGTGACTCATGTTGGTTGTGGCAAGACAAATGGCATTATCAGAGAATTCACTAACACAGTAGTATAGTTTTCCTCAGCAGTTCTATTACTTGGTTGCATAGACTACACCTAAATAAATACATTTTTTTTAGTTGATATCAATATTTTACATGGTTTAGGAATTGTTGTGTGTGTGTACTATACTGCTTTATATCTACAGTAGCAGTAGGTTTGTCTCAAAATGAGAAGTTATAAGGCAGAGATCAGACTGTCTTACAATTGTTACATAGGAAATAGTGAATAATTACAATTTGATTCAAATATAACAACTGGTTTTACCAGCTAATCCTAATCAGCATTACTCAATGTTCATATCAACTACTCAGAAAAAAAAAAAAAGCCATTTTGGACATGGGATAACATACTAAAAAATGGATCTAGAATTCATTGTCAGGTATCTTGTATTTTGAAGGCTGTATTTCATCATCAGAGTTTTCCTTTCTGGTTAAAAAGAAAAAAGTCTGTTAAAAAAAAAAAATTGCATGTCTTTTCATTAGTAGCTGAATCACCACTTGATTTCTCAATACGCTGTTCTCTCAATCATCTTGCTCATGCAAAGGAATTAAGACTAAATTAATGCAATGTTGGCAGTGTTAATTCATGAATGTTAAAAATTACAAATGTGATAAAGCTAGATTTAGATGTACTTCAGAGACGTTTTACCCCTATGAATAGTACATCATCTTAAGAGGTTTTATTTTTGGAAGAGTTAAAATCACAGAATTGTTTAGGTTGATACAGACCATTAAGATCCTCGAGTCCGAGTATAAAGCTACCACAGCCAAGTTCACCACTAAAACACATTCCTAAGCACTGCGCCTGAAGTGTTTTGAACACTTCCAGAGGTGGTGAGCCAACTGCTTCCCTGGGCAGCTTGTTCCAGTGCTTGACAACCCTTTCAGTGAAGAAACTTTTACTAATATGAAATCTAAACCCCCTCTGGTGCAACTTGAGGCCACTTCTCCGTTACTTGGAGAAGAGTCTGACCCCCACCTGGCTACAACCTCTTTTCAGATAGTTAGTAGAGAGTGATGAGGTCTCCCCTGAGCCTCCTCTTCTCCAGGCTAAACAACCCCAGCTCCCTCAACCACTCCTCATAAGATTTGTGATCCAGACCCTTCACCACCTCCATTGTCCTTGTCCAGAAACACAAACTTCTCGTGGTCCGTAGGGAATGTACCTGTAACTTGACTAATTATTCACTAGATGTCTCTGTGCTCCTGAATTTACTATGTGACTGTTGAGGCCAAATAGTGATTACAATTGAGAGAGATAATCTAGTTGGGGTTTTTTGGCTAATAAGGAGAATAATTCAGACACCATCTTAAAATAATTTTAATTTAAATCAATTTTTATAGTTGTTGTTCATGTAGACCTTGCAAGAAGTGATGCACTTCTACTTGAATTTCATTTAATTTCATTGTATCAGTATTATCTCTTTATCAATACAAATAAATATATAACTGCACAAAAACCCTAAACTGCACATTTAAAAAGTAAAGTATTTATATTGAAGAATGCTACAGATAATTATTACTGTTTATGGGTAGTCTGTGGATTTCTTAGTAATAGTTTTGTGACCTGCTTTGTGACACATCAGTATCTGCTTGCAATTTCTTATTTAATTTTTATTCTGAATTCTGGGAATTAGAGTTTGAATTATTGCAGGGAGAGGCGCTTTTTTTTTTTTTTTTAACACTTCCTACCTGTGTTTCAGATCTCTTACAAAGTTGAAAGCAGGGTTTTGTACCCCCACAAGTTAAAGATTTTATAGACCCTTTTATGATTTGGTTCTGTTTTGAAGACCATCTACATGTCAATGTATGGAAGGAGCAAGAAAGTTATTAGGGGCTAGATTTGCTGTTTTCTTCTCAGTGGCTCAAGAGCTCTAATAATGCCTGTGCAGTTGAAAAGTCATTGTTCAGCTGTGTTTACTGATTTTCCCCATCTGCAACTTTTCATAGGAATGAAATCTACATCGCTCCTTCAGGAGTCCAGAAGGAAAGAATACAGGTAGGTTAAGCTGTACTTTTACCTCAGAGCTCATCTTGAAATGCGTGAAACTGCCTTTGTTTAGAGTTTCACTTTTTCTTATGTGAAGTTGGAAACTTCTTATACTGTTGACTACCTTACTGGAACAACTGATGATTTCTCCCAGTACTCCACTACCATAGCAAGCCAGTATGTGTTTCAGTGGCCAGTGTATATTAGTCTTGAGGATCTCTTTGCTTTAAATTAACACAAAACCGTGTGAGATTTGAACTCAAGCGCAGCTTTATTCTTTGTCAGTCTTGATTATCTTTATACTGTCTGGCCACAGTTTCAAGTTATTCTGGCACGTACATAAAGAAGCATTAACACCTCTTCACTGTTTATTTTCATTTGAGTGATTACAAATATTTTTTCTTGATAGTCTCAGTAAATATTTGGGCTCTCCACATGCAAAGGTGACCTTGTCTATCTGTCTCTTTTCCAAAAAAAACCCCAAAATGTAAGTAAAGGGGAGAATGTGAAATGATAACTATTTGATGACAGCAGGAGCTCCCCTAGAATAGCATAATACATGGAAAGGATTTGTCATTTCACAGCTCTGAGGATAAATACCATGAGGAGTAAAAGGAATCCCTTCACTGATGGAAACGAGCGGTTTCGCAGCAGTGTTTGGGGATGTGAACAAGTAAGGCAGGCAGAGGTACAGAAGATAACCATGATAGTCTGTTCTGTGCTATCTGTAGCAGTGACTTGAATGCAGTGAGCGAGGAAATCTCTTGCAACTATTTTCTACTGACTGTTAAAATAACATTAAAAAGAAAGTTTTCTTACTGCCCTGGACAATTCTTTGTACTATTATGAGTTTGATGCAAAGGTACCATTCATGTAAAGCTACTAAAGGCAAGGTTTAAAAAGAAATAGTTCTGCAAGTTGAATAGTTTATTTGTAAGTTTAATTTGTGTCCTTTGTTGGTTCTTTAAGTTGAGAAAGAAAAGTACATCTACCTTTTTTTTTTTTTTTTAATCAGTTGCTACATTTCCTTTTGATCTATTTTCTGTTATTTAGGTGCAGGCTGTCTCCTTTCTGAGAAAACTGTAGTTTTACAAATACCTGCTTGGCATCATTCCTAATAAAAAGAGTACCTAAAATTAATTCCCATTACACAATGTCATTAAGTACTAAGAAGCTAGAATGTGGTACATTCCAGCACTTTTATAAAGTTATTAAATAATAGATATTTAAATATATATATGTATATTAAATATGTGGTGCATATGTATTTATTTCCCTAGAAGGAAAACAAAGCTATTCAAGTCATCATCACAGGTCAAAATAGTTTCTTCATTCTTACAGCCAGAAGATATGTTTGTTTGTGACATGAACGAACAGGACATCAGTGGTCCTCCACTGCACAAGAAGCTAAAGAAAAGCCAGTGCACACCTCTCTTTATGAATGCCTACACTATGAGAGGTATGTAGCAAATGTTTTTAGTTCAGCTATATCTGAAACACTGTAAATATACATCCACAAAATTGATATTCAATACCATATTCTTTATACATAGAAGTTACAATGAAACAAACATGAAACTGTAAAATAAATTGATTTGCAAAGATATATATACAATGGAAGGGAATCCATAGTAACATCCTGACAGTGTGATTTAAAATTTTATCTTCTTGTGTAGCTATTCCTGTGATCCTCATCACTAATTTTTAGTGCAGTATATTGGTAGGTTGTAGGGGAAGCTGGGGGATTTACAGCAGTTTTAAACCAGTAGTTTTGCCTGTTCAGCAGCTATAGTTTAGATCCCGTTGCATCCACTGGCTGAGATTAACAATTATGACTAGGTGAAAAAGGTATGAAACTTTTCTTTTGCAGGTGGACAGTAATAGGGAGCTTTTGATGTTGTGTACGATTTACATCTGTTGTTTTAGAAAGGATTTAAGGGGTCTCTTCTAGTCTTCCTGCACAAGAAGCTTACCTGTGTACCTGAGGAATGGCAACATTGCAACTTCATAAGTAGATTATAATTATTGTCTGCCCATTTTTCCATCATGATGCAGTAAGGTAACAAGAAATGTTTTTTCAGAGAATCAGTGGATAATTGAAGAAGACATAAGAACAAAGTAAAAGTCTCTAAACTTTCATTTAACAAATCAGTTTGGAAATTCTTTAAAATCTCAGAACTCTGATAAAATAAATACAGTGTTTCAGTCATTGCAGTACCTAAAGAAATGTACAAGTAGTGTTTCTCCTTGAATTTATACGAGTAGTTTGTCTCCTGGAATTTGTCACTAACTAAAAGTTAACACTAGTGTCCTAAGACGATCCATAACCTTTATAGGTGAGTAATGATCTCATACCTTCATTTAGGTTGCTGTATATTTTTTCCTCTAATGCAATAGATCACCATTTGCTAAGATGCCCAATCAAAGGTTTTTAATCAAGTATGCGAATAAAATTTTCCTAATAGATACATTTTTAAACTAATTCTAAATTTTTTTCTACTTCTTATATTCTTAGGGGCAGGTGCAGTGATCCATACTCATTCCAAGGCTGCTGTTATGGCTACCCTTCTTTACCCAGGGACTGAGTTCCGTATTACCCATCAGGAGATGATAAAAGGAATCCAGAAATGTACTTCAGGAGGCTATTACAGGTACTTCTCTATACTTAAAAATTAAGAGGCATGATATTTGATCATTTGTTTTCAACAATATAAATAGATGATGCATCGTTCAAGTTATGTGCCTAAAGTGTGTAATACAAAGTGTTAGGAGTAAGAAGTTAAAAGACCTCTGGAATAAATGAGTCACTGGCTTTCTGTAAGGTCGCAAGCCTCTGGAAGAGATCTGAGATAAAATCTTGTAATGTCAAGGCTACTGTGGTCTGTTGAGCTACAGCAACAAGCCAAATTAGGAGCTGCATCCTGAGATGTTGACACAGTGTTAGGCTGAAACTGGAGCCAACCAGCTTTAGGTTGGATTGATAGCATGTAAAAACTACATTTGGGTGGACTTTGCATATCACTGCCTGTGCTAGTTTAGGGCATGTTAAGAGAGTAGAGGATTTCAGATTTTACTTGACAGAGTTTGAAAGAAAATTCAGAATAAACAGCTCATTAAAGATAATGTTATTACTTTTCAAGGATGAGCTCTGAGGTAAGTGCTGAGTTATTCCAAATTATGTGTGATGGCTTGTTTTGAGGTCTCCACCCACAGAGTGTTGAATTGGGATCTGCAAACAACATTTATATAACATGTGACAAGTAGATGAGAAATTGAAATGCTAAATTCTTTCTACTTTTTGATGTTAATTTTTGTATCTAACTATTGCCCTTTGGCAAGGGAGCAAGACATATGTGATTTTATGCTCCAGCATATTTTGTTCCATTTTGGTTGACTTGCCAACTTTACCTTCTTGTCAGCATTAGCATGTGCATTTTTAATGTGGCAAAATACAATCCCTTGCATTGAATTTTCTAACAGCTCTAGTTTTAAAAACATCCACATCAATTTTCTATTTTGGATATGCATTTTGAACTCTCAAATATTGCTAAATATTAGTCAAGAGACATTGTATGTTAGTCAGGAGACATCATATTTATCGGGTTCCACACCTCCAAGTTGCTGGTATCACCCTGTTACTTTACCAGAAAAAGTAAAGAAATCAAAGCTTCAGATTATATTGCTCATAACCACATATTTATCCATACTAGAATGATTCCACTGTCTTGCCTCACACAAGGCTCCCCATTGAATTGCAAAGAAATTTGATAGTAGAAAATTGTACCTTTCAAAAAACAGATTGAAAGTATGTTGTTTCTCATTGGAAGCTATCCTGGAAAATGCTACAGATATGATAATCAGAAGTGGGTTTTTTGCCTAAATATGACTCCAGTGGTGCCAGAGTAGTTTCCCTTCAATTTCTTTAGAAGGAGAATTAGATCAGTAGTAAACAGCTTTGAAAATCCAGACTATGACAGGGTATTTTAAATTAAGTTTTGACTAAATGTAGGCTGCTTATATTTCCATAAAACTAAAGAGATATCAAGTATTTAGCTCATTCAGAGTCTTCTTGACATTTTATAGATATTAGTTTTTGATAAAAAGCTTATGGTTGTGATTAGGGATCAGTTATGGTATTTATACCTGCTTCCAAGCTCACGTAGAAAGCAGAACGTAGGAAGCCAGTCCATTAGCTCATTTGGCCTCAAATCTAGCTTTGGTGATCAGTATACATAAGAGTCAAAGTAAAACTGCAAATACCACTTTATTTTCTTCATTCACTATTTTTATAGCTTCTTTGAGAAAGCAACAGCATTGAAAACTGTAAGGGATGAGACTTTCATTTTCTGAATATTGGATTTGAAGTACAAGCTGTTGCTTCTGGGTTTTTTTACCATTGCCTCCTTTCTGTGTTTTATAAAAGTAAGTACTACCAGCATCCACTCATGAAATATCTAAGTGATCTCAATGATAAACCTGAACCTGAAGTGGGGACTTATTAAAACTATTTAAACAAGTTTCTGCCAGTGTTAATTAAGGTTCATACAATGCCAAATATCCCAGTCCTCCTTCAGAAGAAACTCTTAGGCAAGTTCCACTGAGTAACATGCATCATCTTGTCTTTGGAACTGGGGTTCTGAGGCTCTCTTAAGATCACATGTAGCCCACCAATGACTCCATCACAGAGAATTTATTTTTCATGTGTTGACTCTACTTTCTATTTATATGCCTTAGAAGGACAATCTTCCAGGGGCTTTTTGGACTACCTAAATTAATTTTTTTCTGCTCTCCAGCAAACAGCTTCATTTCCTTTTTCATGATATGATTCTTTTAAATAATTTAATCTGAGGTAAAGCTAGTAGATGATGCCAATACAGGATGGAGAGTTTGAAAAAGTTGTAAAGAGACCCAAGTACAAAGTGATATGTGAATAAACAACTACACCTAATAGATTGAAGTGTTCTTTTCTTTTTGTGCCTCAAGTCTAGCTCCGATATTGCCAGCATAGTATATGTTTGGGAGTGAGAGATGTTCCTGAGAATTCTTATGTTACAGCATGACTCACAAGAGAAGAGTATAAAATCATTAGTGCTGAAAATTTATTAACATCTTTACACAGTCAAAGGACAATCTCTTTCTTAGGGAAAAGCTTCATAGATCCAAGCGCAGGGTTTTTTTTTTGAATACATGGACATTCATATTTCTTTTAGATATGATGATACACTAGTGGTTCCCATTATTGAGAATACACCAGAAGAGAAGGATCTCAAGGAAAGAATGGCACTTGCAATGGAAAAATACCCAGACTCTTGTGCTGTATTGGTCAGACGTCATGGTGTTTATGTATGGGGAGGAACATGGGAAAAAGCCAAAACAATGTGAGTACAATTTAGCAACATGCTGTCTTTTGCTGCTATACCTCAAAATCTTAGTGAACTTAATGTCATGTGTATTTTCAACCCATGGACAATGATTCATAGCGTTAAGGCTTCACTGCATGCGTAGGGAGCTTTTGGGAGTGGGTTCATCCATGATTCCATTGCTTCGTTTTTCTTTTATATCAGTGTTGGCTAATAAGGTTGCCAACATTTTCCTTTCATATGGACAAGTCCCTCCTTATATGAAACCTGCAGGGAATCCCTGCTTTTATATGACATCTGCCAATGCTGTTTGTGCAGTCTTCCCTAGTACCATTTTTGGAATTTACTTTCATCTGCTGATAGAAATGCAATAAAAATGCTGAGCACTTGCCATACCACAGGATTGGAAATAACAGTAATAGGGCTGTCCATTTAGACTGTTGCATTGGTGATATAAAGCTGCAGGAAAGAAAATAGTAGTTTTCATAAAACATGGTAAGACTTGAGCCTTACTTACATTTCACTTTTTTTCTTTATTAATTTTAGGTGTGAGTGTTATGATTACTTGTTTGATATCGCAGTGCAGATGAAGCAGCATGGGCTAGATCCTTCAAAACATCCAGCTGGAGAAAACGGGATCTTGTAAATGTCAACAACATTTATATTCAGGTGTGAATTTATCTGTACAGATGATCTGTTTGAAGGGAGGGACTCAGATGACACCATCACTTCAGTCTTCTTTCCCACTCAGGAAACTTCAGTATTGCTCATCTTCCCCCAGTCTGCTTTGTTACCACTGCAGTTATATCTATGCCTGAAATAATGCTCGTTTTCCACACAATGCAACAACAACAACAGAAAATATTAATAGTCAAGTGTGTTTTGTGCATATTTAGTACCTATTTACAACATGGAGTGCGATTGCTTTTTAAAACAAAACAGTACCAAGGATTACCAGTGAAAGCAGTGGACTAAGAAAACCACAGCCTAGTTAGCTAATGTGTACAGAGACGTCTGAACACCCAGCTTGCAGGATCAGATTTGGTTTCAGTCCATCCCTGGTGTTATTTGTATGGCGCATTGGTTGGGGAGTTTTGTGGATTTGGTTTTTTCCTTCAGTGGACTTGGCTGGTTGCAAATAGAGTTTCACTGATTACTGTCACCTGTTTCCCTCATGTAGCAAAGTACCTTGACTTTCTGTTTTCTAGCGCAGCAGTGATCCGTTTTGAAAGTGTTTGTAAGAAATTGTTTGAAGTAAAAGCACACAGATAACATAGATAACATGAAAGATCCCTGAAACAGTTCTCACAAAAGCAATGTACAGTTTGGTATGGCAAAACACAGTGGTAGCATAACACTTCAGAGTTTGAGACACCTCTTCCTGAAAACGTAAGCAAGTTTAAAGATACCAGTACAGAGATTATAAAGGGATTTCTTGGCCAAAGTGATGGTGTAATTAAACAGGATATGCTAACTTGTTGCAGAGTCGTTCTATCAGATAATCCACTGCACCCACCACGTTTTCATCAGAAGAAATGACAAATGGTTGCTCAGGCTGCATGAGCCCAGAACAGACAGGGACTTGGATCATTAGCCTTTATGCCCACACTGGAGGACGAAGCAGCTGGACAGGAGACTTGCTGTCAGTGAGTCTCTGTGTTAGCAGGCATTTGGAGTGCTGCCACTGCATACAGTGATGAAGACATGCAGGCTGCCACACCTGCACAGAGCTACCTCATGTCCCATGAGAACCTTTCTAAAATTGCACCTCAGCCCCTACAATTGAATAGGTTCGGCTGCTGTAGTGGCATTAGTATTCCTTTGCCTATTTATTGTGACTAAATACCTAGTTTGAGAATATTTTCACTTTTACCTTGTTTCTCCTGTGCAGGTTTCTTACGTGGTGGTGGGAGTTCCAGATTTCAACTCACACTTGGAGCCAGAAGGGGGTGCTGTTATACTCAGGGGATTGACAGATGCCAGCAGGCAGTTTTAGATTGTTCAACGCATCCAAGAAGAAAAGGAGACTTCAAAACAACTGAATTGCTATTTATGAATCCTGTTGAGCGCTACAGTAGCAGAAATGAAAACTGAGATGCAAAAAAAAGATTTTGAATAACTATGGAGAACTAACATGACATTTTGTTTGTGTGCCTTAAAAATTGACATTTCAACAACCTACATTGGCTGATCCTGCTGTAATTCTATATTATAACTCTCCACTTCTGAAAGTTATAGTAGCTTTTATTCTTCAGGAAAAAAAGAGAGGACAACCCCTTAATTAGAAGTTAATAAAGTTTAAAGCATTGTTTGAACTGTGATTCCTTCATGCCATGTTCATAGCTTTTTTTTTTAATTAAGCCTGTAGCATACGTATTTTTAAATTCTCCTAATTGTCATTATAATGAGTAGGAAACACATAATTTTATAGTGTGTATTTTGTAGTTACTGGAAGACTGCTGTGGGTCTTGTCTGGTTTTTACATCTTTACATTCCTTCACTTTGAGTAACATTTTGTTTATTGCAACTTCAGAACAACTTTTTATGACCTCTGATTAGCCCCCCTAAGGTAGATTTAATCAAAGTGCTCATTAAAATGTAGTATCGCATATTTATGACACAGTGTCTTTCAAAATCTTCTGCAATGGCTCCCCAGTGGCATTATTGAAAGCCTTCAGTGACCAGTTTTCAGATTGAGTGTTGAGACTCTGTTCCCAAGGGTGAATTGAGACAGGGTAGGCACCAACTGTGACCTTGTTCTCTGTTAGGGGCCGTGCATTCCCACTGCTTTCTCTTACAACGTCTCTGGCTTTTTTTTTTTTGAGCTTCCATGAGGTGAATTAACTCTTCAACCTAAAAGTGGGAGTGGGGGAAAGAAAATTACTAAATTATTTCCTAATAAGCCACTGGTCAAAGGTGTGTTCAAAGAGAACCAGAGCCAGGGCAAAAGATAAGAGGGATGATTCCGGAGATGGCAGACAACACTTTCCCCTTTTCCTGGAAATGACAGTTAAGTTCAATGTCTTGTAAATGTTGGGCATGTTTGTCATTCCCTACAGTGCTATACTTGCTACAGCTTCCCTGTAGTGCTGTACCTGCAGCGTGTAACCTTTAAGCCTTATGGGGTGTGCGTGACCTTGGTTATTGTGAAATAGTGGTTATCACTGCCTTACTGCAGATTGTTGGCTATATGTTTATCAATACATTTTTTCAGTATTAGGCACTTGTTTGTCAGTGGCAAATATTTAAACTGCCTGATTTCTGCAAAAAAGTAAATTCCTGTGGTATTCTGATGATGGTTTCAGAACAGATCATAATTGTATCATTCCATAATGCTGATGTTTTCTAAGTATAAGGAATGTATAAAGAAGTATATTTATGCTTAGTGTTGGTTTGTTTTGCATGTATAATGACAAACTATAAAAGAACACTCACGAGGAAAGGTTTTTTTGCCAAATATATTCCTCTAGGGTCATGTTAATTACAAATATTCACTTTCTCTTCTAGCTCCAATTTGCCACTCTATAGCATTTCTAAAATTTGTGTAAAACATCCAATTTCTATAGTAACTAAGAAGTTTTGTCATACAGGATTCCAAGATGTTTGGAGTCCCATCCAGTGATATGGAAATGAGCTAAATGCACTCTTCTGATGTGAACTCTCATCAAAGAAATTAATGCCTTTACAACTCTGGTGGCTTCATAAACTTGTGAAATGATTACTGTTTTCTGGTTTTAAGTGTATATAATTTCCTGATGTGAATTGCGGGCTAAAAAAGCCAGCTAGATATTTTTATGCATTTACAGCGGAAGCTTGATCTCCACTGAGCCGATTATCTAGGTTTAGTATCACCAGATAGGCTTATGTCAAAATGACATAATTCCCATTTCAAGTGGCTCATCCAAAAAGCTAAGTAAGTTCCAACATTTCTCAATAAAAGTAACTTCCTACCAAACATCCTGTTTGCTTTCCAAGAAGGAAATAAAACTGCAGAATACAGCATCTTGAAACATTAAGAGATAGAACTTGTAACTTAGAGTAAGCAGTTATGATGCCAATATATGTTCTTTAGTGAAAGCTGTAATGCCTGAACAACTGGCATCCTATTTGCTTTATCTCCAAAATTGTAATTTAAAAATTAACATCGAAAAAATTCACTGTCTAATGGAACAATACAAATAAACCAGTAACCTTCCTCTAAATTGTTTTTTACCATGCATTTTTGGCAAATAGGTTTGCAACAATTTCTTATTATTTTACAGGAGATGACAAATTGGCAAAAAATTCCCTGGAGCACTTTAAATGGATTCCTATTGTATCAAGCAGCAGAAGAAAATACATAGTTTGATATTAATCCTTCCTAATAACAAAAGTGTTAAAAAAGCTCTGAGCAGATACAAGTTTAGGCATTCCTATGGAAAGGAGTTATCTCTAGAGATTTGTAAGCTGTAAGGAAATCAGGAGAATGCTTCATTTTTCAAGTCACTTTGGACTTCCATTTAGGTTTTGTTCTAAGGGGAGGTGAACCCTTGCAGGCTTTATTTTTGTTTTCTTTTCCTACTTGTTAGGTGAAATTTAAGTTGTGCCTTACAGACCCAGAGCCCTCTGAGCTGAGAGGCTATGTAGCAGAGAGAGTAGAGGTGCCTGTTACTGCCCTTTGCTACGAGCTCATCAGAGCTTTCCTAGAAATCGGTGGATCTGTGTATTTGGTTTTATTTCAAGCCAGCTTCATGCTAGAAGTTGTTACTCCAGAAGAATGCTACCTGATGTGATTTTTAAAAAAGCAAATTTTTAAGTCCCTGAATCTGAAAAAGAGTTCTCAGGCATTTATCCTGGTACTGCCCAAGGTTTTATTATGTAAATCAGATGATAAATAAAATCTCACTATTTTTTAGTTGACATCATTAGCACAGGGTCATGTTTCTGCTAAATTTGAGTGCTAGGGTTTCAGCATACTGAGTGCAGCATGGCAAAATTATTTTGGAGATGAAACCTCGAATGTAAACACAACCATTGTCTGTTTCTTAGGTTTTTAATCTATTGAAATCAAAAGCATTTTGAAAAACTAAACTTTTAGATTTTTCTATAGTCTTCAGGCTTAATCTAGCATCTACTAGATTTTGCTAGAACAGTCAGAAGAAAACTAGTGACTGGCTAGTGCGCTCAGTACAGAAAATGAGCTAAGTGAGTTTGTCTAGGTGGGATTTAATGGGGAATTGTGGAAATTCACGTAGTCTGAATAACATTTACAAACATTCTCTCTCTCTATACTTGCATAGGTGTGTTGAGTTTTTTTACTCTAAGATACTGTGCTATTGTACTAGCAAGTTTCTCTCATCTATGACAGATAAAATTACAGGTTTGATCTCCAGAAACCAGATCAACAAGAATTTTTTAAAATAGTTAAACATAAATTCTTGCTCCTTAATGAGCCTCACATTAGCTCTGATTTCTCTAATGGTAATTTCTGGCAATTACAAACAGAATACACTGGATATAGAAGAAAGAATAGGTCTTACATTTAAAACAAAAAGCTGGAAGTCTAGATTTTGTGGCTGATTTGAGTGTTACCTTAAGGTCATTCCTTGAACAGTTCACTTTGATGGGAATTTCAAAAGAGCTTGAATGAATCAGATACTACCCTAAATCCCATTGGAAAGTTAGGTGCTTAATTTCATTAAGGATTTAGCTGTCTTTGTTTCGGGGAGGGGGGGAGGGGGAAGGACAGTGGGGATCACCTTGAGTACAAGCTGCAACATATCACTAGCGTATCCCAGTTCATCCTCAAATGCTTAACTGCTATTTCTGTACTAGAAACCTGTAGTTTTAAGGAAAAAGGTTACATAAACTAATTTCACCTAGAAATTTACAAAAGCAAGAAATCAGGAACTAAGCTCTCCTGCTTCCTCATACAAATATTACCACAAGTAACACAGCACAATTTTTGTGATTTCAATCCCTCACCTCCCAAAGGATACCAGCTGTCTTTCCAGATGAAACATCTCTTTTAAAATGTCATTTTTAAATTCCTGTTCTCCAGACAAAGCAAGTTACCCTCACAGTCCCCATTTCAGTGCAGTTCCTGAAAACAACGTCACTGCGGTATGTCAGTAGATTACCTGGGCTCTGCAGGTTGCTGTGCCTTTAATACTAATGATTACATTTCTTTTGTCTTTATGATTTGTCTCATTTCCATATTTTATTCAGTTTCAATCCTGCTTTTCTATAAAATTGTGTCCCCCTCATGATTCCCTTACAGTTTTTGAAACCAAATGTGAACTTAGTACCATTTGCATTCTGGTTGAACTTTCAAACCCAAGAATATTTTTGTGTTAGGAAACATCTCTTTCCTGATTCATCTGCTATATCCCTGACATATCCGGGCATGTCCTGTTATTGTATGTTTGCAAAATTTTGGTACTTAAAACAGTTAATGTGCCTTTTGTATCTCAGACACACTAGGATTTTGCAAGCAAGTGTCTGTTGACTGCAAGAGCATATGAGCAAGTATGAGACTGATTTCCTGTTAAGGAGTCACTACATTAAAAGGATATTTGCATAATCATAGACTAAGATAATGTAGGGAAAACCCCTGAGATCATTCTGATGCCAGGATTAAGCCAAGCCCAACATGTAATTTATTTGAATGCATGAAAGCTGCTTCTTATCGTTCACTTCTATCTCAAGTCTCCAAGCACTTTACTTGGCAGCAGCAGGCTCTAACTCCTCCTGGGTAATTCATTATCCTCAACAACTGTTAAAAGGGTTATTTTAAGTTTAACTTAACAGTCCCTGCAACTTAATTAATACAATAAAAAAATTATTCCTTTTATGACTTGTGTCGTGTTCAAAATCAAGCTACCGCATCTTCTTGGGTCATCATTTTATTTGATGCCCTCACCTTCAGGTTATGATAACTTTGGAAATACTGCATGTACCACAAAAACAAGGGTTTAGGACTACACCTACAGAAAATATAGCAATTGGGTTTTTTTAACTTTTATATAAATGAAGAACTGTCCACATAGGAGTTTGGCAGAAGGACCTCAAGAGAAAGTACATTAGCAATTAAAAATCAAGGCACACAACGATGCTGTTTCTGAACATAATAGTTAGGGCTAGAGGTCTCTGACTTCCATTTTAAATTCAGTTGCATGCTTTAAGGTTTTATTTTGAGAATTTGTCACACTTGTCACCTGGTACTTCCTTCAAGTAACGTGCTTAGAGGCTTATGTCTAGGGTGCTGTAGCAGTGTCTGAAAGGTTTGGGGTTTTTTTACTCATCTTGGACGAGTAAGTTATTTGAACCCTGAAGTCCAGTTGCCAGGAAAAAACAAAAGCAAAAACATCCCAAGGCTGCTGTCATGCTCACTTGGCCACAGTTGAAACAAACGGGGATACAAAGAGATGTGGAGGTTTAGCAAGAGGGCAGCTGCTGTTTCTGAAAAGCAATCGAGGGAGGAGAACCCACTGCATAGCATTTCAGTGACAGCTCAGTCTATCAAGCCTCAAGCCATAGCATAAGAGGGGAGTAACATTTTAAGTGAGGGAAGAGCAAACATTATGATTCTTTAATTGTAGGAAGGGCAAGAAGAGAGAATACAGTTAGGGTCTCAGACACCTAAATAAGAAAGCTTCAAGTAACAATGGTGGCAACATTAGTAGATAAGCACAGTTAAGCAAATAGGGTGATGATCACCATCTATTGCAGTTTAAGCACTAACACAACACTTCCACTGTACTAGAAAATTGTACCGTGTTTCACCATACTTTAACTATGATTAAAACAGCACAGTTCTAGTAGCCTGAATAGGTAATTCAATATTATTAATAAAAAATTCATATACTAACTTACATTAAGATGTATTAATTGTCCTGTTTGAAACATCTAGTCATCAGTAAGGAGGAGCTACCTTTGAAAGAGAAGGTCCAGGCATTTTAAGTAGATTCCTAATAAATTTTGGGAATGCTGAAAGCAAAACTATCCCATACTGAAAATTAGAAACTTATTCTATTCAGACCAGAAGAGAACAATGTCTGATCAAGTAGACAATAGTGTAACCTGAGTGTAAACCTTAGTGTAACCCGAAACTCATATTGCACAAAATTAATTACCAAACAAAATGAAATGACAATACTGCAACCTCTTCCCATAGGGAGACAATGGACTGAAGACAGTCATCCCACCTATATTTAACTTCTTTCCCTAATGTATAGTCTATGTTTAACTGTAACTTGATAAAGATTCCCAAGCTGCAACACTGAGATCAAAATTGTGGCATTATGCCATATAACAGCATTATGCAAGTCATGAGCTTTCCCTAATCATGTTTCTGTGTATGTGGAAATCTATGCAGAAATCTATATGAAGAAATTTATCAGAAGGCTTAATCTCTGGGGGGAAAAAAAAAATCCCGAAACTGCTTTGTTTACTTCCTTTATTATTAGTGATAGGCCATTCACAGCTTAACTTCCAGAAATCCTGCAAGGCTCTGATTTTTTTCCCTCATACCGTATTCAGAATTGATCCTAACAATACAGGGGACAGTTTTACAAAGATTATTCATGGAAGAAGTGTCCACACATGAGAACTGCTTCAGGATGAAAGAAGGAATAGAGCATATTGGTATGCAGTAAAAAACTTCCATCATGAGCACAAGGAATAAGCACGGGATTCCTGAATAGGGCAATACAGTGCAGATGAACAGGAAGGGGCATGCTAAAAAGCCATGAAAATAAGTGTTAAAAACCCAAAATCAAAGTAATACAGCACTAAAATGCTGCTAGCCAGGAGAAATTAAAGTCAGGATAGTTTCATGGGTTGCATTTTTACACCTTGTCAGCTGTGCACTGAAACTGTGCTTTTTAATAATACTAATTGAGTAGATGAACTAATTCCATCTATAAAGAAAATTTTCATTGTTTTCTGTGCTCTTAGTCTTAGTTTTACAAAACTAAAATGTCAAAAAGGCTAAGATCAGTCCAGAGATAATTTCACAGGATAAATAGTGTAAGCAACTGAAGCCTTCCTTGCAGAATTCTTGTGGGATATGTCTTTGGTCAGCTGGGGTCAGCTGTACCCTCCTAACTTCTTGTGTACCCCCAACCTCATCACTGGTTGAATAGGGGGAGGTGGCCTCCATTTTATCTAAGCACTGCTGAGCAATAACAAAAAACATCCCTTCATTATCAACACTGTTTCC